AATTCAGAGGTGGGTGATGAGTGATCCACTTTATTTTGGCTCCTTTGACATAAATGAATTGACATAAATGAACATATGTATGGGTTTATTTCTGGGCACTCTTCTGTTCCATTGATCTCTATGTCTCTTTTTTTGCTAGTACCATACTGTTTTGACTGCCATAGTTTTGTACTAAACTTTAAAATCTGGAAAATAAAAAAAATAAAAATAAAAATAAAATAAAATCTGGGATTGTGTTGGGACACCTGGGTCGCTCAACAGTTGAGTGTCTGCCTTTGGCTCAGGGTTTGAGGGTGTGATCCCAGTCTGGGGATTGAGTCCCGCATCAGGGCTTCCTGTGAGGAGCCTGCTTCTCTCTCTTCCTATGTCTCTGCCTCTCTCTCTCTCTCTCTCTCTCTCTAATGAATAAATCGATAAAATCTTTAAAAACAAAATAAAATCAAATCTGTGATAGTGAAACCTTCAGTCTTGCTCTTCCTCAAGACTGCTTTGGCTTTCAGGGTCTTTTGCAGTGCTATACATATTTTAGGATAATTTGTTCTATTTCTGTGAAAAATGCCATTGGAATTTGAATAGGGGGGGATCCCTGAGTGGCTCAGCTGTTTGGCCCCTGCCTTCCGCCCAGGTTGTGATCCTGGAGCCTCAGGATTGAGTCCCTCTTCAGGCTCCCTGCATGGAGCCTGCTTTCTCTGCCTCTCTGTCTCTCTCTGTGTGTCTCTCATGAGTGAATAAATAAAATCTTAAAAAAAAAAAAAAAAAGAATTTGAATAGGGATTGCATTGAATTGCTTTGGTTAAATTTATTCTTAAGTACTTTATTTTTTATATGTTATTGTTATTGGAATTGTTCTCTTAATTTCTGTTTCTAATGGTTCATTGTTAGTGAGATTTTTACATATTGATTTTGTATCCTGAAACTTTACTGAATTTATTTATTAGTTCTCACAGTTTTTCAGTGAAGTCTTTAGAGTTTTCTATATATAATATTATGTCATCTGCAAATGGAGACAGTTTTATTTCTTCCTTTCTAATTTGATTTAAAATCTTTTTTTAAAAAAGAAAGAAATTGGTCTGTTCATATTTTCCATTTATAATTCAGTCTTGGTAGTTTGTATATTTCTAGAATGTATCTATTTTTTCTAGATTGTCCAATTTGTTGATGTATAAGTGTTTACAGTAGTCTCTTTTTTTAAGATTTTATTTATTTATTTATTCATTCATTCATTCATTCGTTCATGAGAGACACAGAGAGAGCAGAGACGTAGGCAGAGGGAAAAGCAGGCTCCCCTCAGGGAGCCTGATAAGGACTCAATCCTAGGATCCTAGGCTCACACCCGGAGCCCAAGGCAGATGCTCAACCACTGAGCCACCCAGCTGCCCCTACAGTAGTCTCTTATAAATCTTTGTATTTCTTTGGTATCAGTTGTGCTGTCTTCTCTTGCATTTATAATTTTTTTATTTGAGTCCTCTTTTTTCTTGTTTAATCTAGCTAAATATTTTTCTATTTTATCTTTTCAGAAACCCTGCTTAGTTTTATTGATTTTTTTTCTATTTTTTTAGTCTCTCTTTCATTTTTTTCTGTTCTTATCGTTGTTATTTCCTTTATTCTACTTCAGGTTAATTTGTTCTTTTTTCTCATTATTGCTTGAGGTATAAAGTTGAGGGAGTTTTTTAAAGATTTGTTTATGTATTTGAGATAGAAAGCACATGCTCAAGCAGGGGGAGGAGCAGAGGAAGAAGGAGAATCCTCAAGCAAACTCTCCAATGAGTGCAGAGCCCAGTGTGGGGCTCAACCTTAGGGCCCTGAGATCATAACCTGAGCCATGCTCAACCGTATGAGCCACTCAGGCATCTAGGTAGGTTGTTTATTTGAGATCTTTCTTGTTCTTAGTGTGATTGTTTATCACTGTAAACTGTCCTCTTAGAACTTTTTTTGCTTCATTCTTTAAGTTTTGGTAAGTTGTTTCCATTTTCATTTGTCTCAACATACTGATTTCTCTTTTTGATTCCTTCTTTGTCTCATTGGTTGTTCGGTAACATTGTTGCTTAATCACCACATATTTGTGAATTTTCCAGTTTTGTTTTCTAATAGTTGATTTCTAGTTTCATACCATCATGGTTGGAAAAGATGTTTGGTAAGATTTCAATTCTCTTAAATTTGTTGAGACATATTTAGTGGGCTAACATGTGATGTATCCTGGAGATGTTCCATGTGCACTTGAGAAGAATGTGTATTCTGTTATTGAATGGAATGTTCTGTAAGTGTCTATCAAGTACATCTGGTGTAATGTGTCATTTAAGTCCAATGCTTCCTTATTGATTTTCTGTCTGGGTGATCTATTTGTTGTTAAAAGTGGCATATTGAAGCCTTCTACTGTTATTATACTGCTATCTGTTTTTCCCATCACATTTGTTCATATTTGCTTTTTATACTTAGATGCTCCTATGTTGGAGATAAATATTTGCAAATATTATACCCTCTTGATGAGTTGATCCCTTTATCATTATTTAATGACCTTCCTTGTGTCTTGATACAGTCTGTAGTATATTTTTTAAGATTTTATTTATTTGAGAGAGAGAGATCACAAGAAGAGGGAAAGGGCAGAGGGAGAAGCAGACTCCCCACTGAGCAGGAAGCCCAACATGGGGCTTGATCCCAGGATCCTGGAATCACGACCTGAGTTGAAGGCAGACATTTAACCAGTTGAGCCACCCAAGTGCCCCAGTCTGTGATTTAAAGTCTATTTTGTTGGATATACGTATAGCCTTGTTTTATTTTGATTTACACTTGCATGGAATATCTTTTTCTATCCCTTCACTTTTGGACTTTGTGTGTCCTTAAAGCTGAAGTGAATCTCTTATAGGCAGCATCTGGTTGAGTCTTATTATTTTACCCATTCAGTATCTTTTGGTTGGAGAATTTAGCTCATTTACATTTAAAATAATTATTGATAGTTATAGGCCTAATATTGCCTTTTTATTAACTGATTTCTGGTTGTTTTTAATTCCTTTGTTCCTTTCTTTCTCTTTTGTGATTCGATGACTTTGAATTCTTACTGAAGAGTTTTTCAGTTGCTGCTCTGCAGAGAATAAAGTCATGTAAATAATAATTTTATCATCTTTCCAAAAATGCTACTTCTCTATTATATAAATATAATGCTGACTCTTGATCTGAAGTGATCAGTGTATCCTCGTATGCTCAGTGTATTAAGAGTTGATTTTGGAGGGGCTCCTGGCTGGCTCAGTTTATGGGGCATGCAGTTCTTGATCTCAAAGTTGTAAGTTCAAGCCCCACGATGGGTGTAGAGATTACTTAAAAATATTATTTTTTGTTTATTTATTTTTTTAAAGATTTTATTTATTCATGAAAGACACACAGAGAGAGAGAGAGAGAGGCAGAGACACAGGTAGAGGGAGAAGCAGGCTCCAGGCAGGGAGCCCGACGTGGGACTCCATCCTAGGTCTCCAGGATCAGGCCACAGGCCGAAGGCAGGTGCCAAACCACTGAGCCACCCCGGGCTGCCCTAAAATCTTTTTAAAAACATTTCATTTTTTTAAACAAGTGGGAGTTGCCCCCACGTTTTATTTTATTGCTTAGATGTAAAAAGTTTAAAAGATTATAGACAAAGGGGGAGAATTTTCCTGAGAAAATTTTTATTTTGTTTTTTGTGTTTTTTTAGAATGAGTGTGCACAGGGTGTGGGGGGAGTGCAGCAGGAGAGGTTGAGAGTCTTAAGCAGGCTCCTTACCCACTGTGGAGCTCACGACAGGGCTTATTCTTACAATCCTGACTGAGATCATGAGCTGAGCCAAAACCAACAGTAGGACACTTAACTGAGCCATCCAGGCACCCCAAAAGAATATACTTTGAATTGCTTCTGCAAATAAAAATTTAGTTAAAAGCTAACATTTCAACAAAAATTTAGTGGAAAACTAAGTTGTGTAATTTTTTAAATCTTACAATCCTGATTTCTTTCAGAATCAATGCTTGATTCTTATTTCCTTTCCTAAATACTATGGCAAAATGTCAGTGGACTTTATTTTCTTGTTTGTCCTTTTTATACTAAGGAATCCTTCAAGATTGTTGTTCTCCATTTTTGTCACCAACTTTGTATCTAGCACTGTTTTCATGTAAATCTGGGTGTTATTCTACATATAAGCAGTTTTTCATTTTTGTATTAGCAAACCTCAAAGACAGAAATTGGCAGTGCTTTTGAAATATTTATTATTTTATTATTTCATAGTAACTTTGGATTTATTATAGAAAATTTAGAATATAGATAAGTGGTTAATTTAAAATAAATCCCTCTAGCCAGTGATAACCGCTATTTAAACTTTTGTGGTTATTCCTCCAGTCTTTTTTCTTAATATACACACAAACTTTTTAAAATAAATGTAAAATCATAATATATATGCTATTTGAATCATAAACATTTGCCACAGGGTAAAACCTTTCTCTAGAATATATTCTTACATACTATATACCACAGAGCAACTGTATCATAGTTTAACCTTTCCCCTGTGTAGACATTTGTTAATTTCTAGCAATTCTTTTGCTAGTTTTTAAGCAATAATTTTAGGTTAGCCTTTGGAAAATGTTAAGTGACCAGTTCTCCCTTTTTTGATTCCTTTTCTAAAGGTGTTTTACTGGCAAATTCAAGTGTTAGAAAAGGAAGACTTTTAAAGTTAGCCCTAAATTTGAATTCTGCTGTGTCACATACCAGTTGTGTGACCTCAAAAAGGAATAACTGATGTAAAGTACCCTCACAGAGTAGTCATTTCTTGATTCCTTTTCTTACCTTTTCAAGTGCTTTGCTCAAGTATAATGCTAGCCTTGAGCAACTTTGTAAAGACATTTTAATATTCTTATTCCCTGGATAAAGCAGAGGAAACTAACTTTTGGCAGCCAACTTTTGGCTACTAACCTTCATTTTCTAGCTGTCAGTTTTAACGTGTTGTTTTTTTGTTTTTGTTTTTTGTTTTCACTCTCTTTTTCTCCTAGAGATAAGATTTCAGTTTCCGCAGCTGACTGGAGTGCTTACCCTTGCTTTCTTTATTCATAACTGTATTATTACACTCTTGAAGAACAACAAGAACCAAGAAAACAATGTGAGTAATTGTCAGAGGAATTGAATATTGTTAAATTCTTAACTTAAATTTAAAACAAAGAGCAGTGGTCAGCAAACTAATACTGTAAAGATTTAGATGGTAATTTTTTTAAAGATTTTATTTATTTGAGAAGCTCATGAGAGAGAGAAAACACTAGTAGTAGGAAGGGTCAGAGGAATAAGGAGAAGCAGGCTCCCCGCTGAGCAGGGAGCCCAGTGTGGGACTTGATCCCAGGACCCTGGGACCATGACCTGAACTGAATGCAACCGCTTAACTGACTGAGCCACCCAGGCACCCTAGATGGTAAATATTTTAGGCCTTGTGGGCCATATGGTCTTTGTTATAACTATCTAACTCTGCTGCTGTGTCGTGAAAGTAACCATAAACAGTATTTGAACCTGGATGGTGGCTGTGTTTCAAGAAAACTTTATTTACCAAAACAGAGAGTGGGCCAGATTTCATCATGGACCATAGTTTGTCAACCCTGATGTAGAGTAATCACTAAAAAAGTAAAGAGGCATAGCTAATAGCCAACAGTGATAAAATCTTTTTTAAATACCCAGGTTATAGCTCAGTGGAGAGCCTGCTTCTCCCTCTCCCTCTGCCTGCCACTCCACCTGCTTATGCTCTCTTTCTCTGTGTCACATAAATAAATAAAATCTTTTTAAATAAATAAATAAAATAAAATACCTAGGTTATCTAAAATATTAAAACAACAACAAAGAACAGATGGGACAAATGGAAAACAAATAGCAATAGATTTAAACCTAATCATAAAAAATAAACCTAATCATATTAATAATAACTTTAAATATAAATGGTCTAGGGATGCCTGGGTGGCTCAGTGGTTGAGCATCTGCCTTCAGCTCAGGGCATGATTCTGGAGTCCTAGGATCAAGTCCCACGTCGGGCTTCCTGCATGGAGCCTGCTTCTCCCTCTGCCTACGTCTCTCTCTCTCTCTGTATCTCTCATGAATTAATTAATTAACTAATTAATTAATTTTAAAAATAAATAAATAGATAAATAAATATAAATGGTCTAAATCTTGCAATTAAAAGCTATCAGACTGATTAAAAAATAAAACCTGACTACAGTTAACCCTTGAACAAGGTGGGAGGGTTAAGGGTGCTGACTACATCATCTCCCACTGCTGCAGTCATAAATTCATGTATAACTTTCCCCCACAGCTTAATTGCTAATAGCCTACCATTGACCAGAAGCTTTACTGGTAACATAAACAGTTGATTAACACATATTTTGTATGCTTTATGTATTACATATTATATTCTTGTAGTAAAGGAAGCTAGAGAAAGGAAAACATTACTAAGAAAATCATAAGAAAGAGTACTGTATCTAGTGGGGAAAATCTGCATATAAGTGGACTTGCACATTTCAAACACATGTTTTTCAAAGGTTAACTGTATACTTTAAATGTAAAGATATACCATGCAGACACTAAATGTAAGACAGGTAGAGTGGCTATTTTAATACCAGACAAAGTTGACTTCAGAACAAGGAATATTTCCAGAGATAAAGAGCAACAGTACGTAATGATATTTAGGGATCAGCCCATCAAGAAGACATAATAATCATAAATATATGCACCAAGAGACAGCTTCTAATAAATGAAGCAGCAACTGTCAAAACAGAAAGGAGAAGCAGACAAATTGAGTATTAGAATTGGAAACTTCATTACCCCTCCTTTAATCATTGATAGAATAGAAAATAAGCAGGATATAGAAAGCCAAAACAGCATTAACCTACTTGATCTAACTAGCATTTATAAAGATCTCTCTCAAGCAACAGCTGAATCACATTCTTTTCAAATGCTAATGAACATATACCAAGATAGTTCATATGCTAGGAAATTGAATAAATCTCAATAAAGTAAAAAGGATTGAAATCATACCAAGTATGTTCTTTGACCACAGTAAAGTGAATTTAAAAATCACTAACAAAGAAATTTGGAAAATTGACAAAGACATGAAAATTAAATAACAGCCTCTTAACTAAGCAGTGAGTCAAAGAAGAAATCACAAGAAAAATCAGAAAATACTTTGAAATTCTTGAAAATGAAGACACAACATACCAGAATTTAAGAGATGCAGCTAAAGCAGTGTTAAAGGGAAATTTATAGCTGTAAATACCTACATTAAAAACGAAGATCTCAAATCAGTAACCTAACCTTCTGCCTTAAGATACAGAGAAAGAAGAGTGAACTGAACCCAGAGCAAGCAGAGATTAACCAGTGACTTGTGGCCTTCTCTGCAGATTTCAAAATCAGTTTGATGACTTCTAACCATATAAATGAAAATTATAGTGATGTTCTAATAGAGATCTACACATTTGTTACTGAAATACAAAAGAAGAATTCACTATGCCTGGGGATTCTGAGAAGACTTCAACTAATGTTTGGCAGAGTCATTAGAAAGACAAAAATCCTTCTGAGGAGAAAGAATTTAGCTCTCAAATTGGGGCAAGACTATAAGTCAAATTACCATTTTCATGTTTACTGTTGCCTGGTAACACATCTGGCACATTACCTGTGAATGGAGTAAGAATTGAGTTAATCTGGATTTTCTGAGCTCTAACTTGGTGATCCACCCAGGCGTCCCTAGATTTTAATTTTAAAACTGCCTTTTCACCAAGGGTTCATATTTTTGCCATGGCTTTTGGAAAACTTAAGAATTAAGTTCTCATCATTTGGGCACCTGTGTGGCTCAGTGGTTGAGCATCTGCCTTTGGCTCAGGTCGTGATCCTAGGGTCCTGGGATCAAGTCCTGCATCAGTCTCCCCACAGGGAGCCTGCTTCTTACTCTGCCTATGCCTCTGCCTCTCTCTGTGTCACTCATGAATAAATTAAACATCTTTTAGAAAGAAAAAAAAATAGTTCTCATCATTTGCTATACCTATTCTTAGGCACAATTTACTTGTAGAGGGTTTTTTTTTTGTTTGTTTTTTACTTTTAGAGTTCTTATCTTCCTTCCCACTTTAGATTTAGTTTGGTGTTTGTTTTGTTTTATGATTATTTATTTATTTGAGACACAGAGGGAGCACAACCCTGGAGAGGGGCAAAGGGAGAAGGATAAGCAGACTTCCTGCTGACCAAAGAGCTTGATGATGTGGGGCTCGATCCTGGGACTCTGAGGTAATGACCTGAGAGGAAGTCAGACACTTAACAGAGTGAGCCACCCAGGCACCCTTAGATTTAGTTTTTATCTTTGAAATGTTTTGTTTATCCTAAGTAATAAGCATTTGGAACTTTGGGATGTAAGGGAAAATTGAGCATATACTTTTAAAGCTCTAGGAACGCCTGGATGGCTCAGTGGTTGAGCATCTGCCTTCTGCTCAGGGTGTGATCCCAAGTCTAGGGATTGAGTCCCACATCAGGCTCCCTGTGAGGAGCCTGCTTCTTCCTCTGTCTATGTCTCTGCCCCTCTCTCTGTGTCTCTCATGAATAAATAAAATCCTTACAAGTAAATAAATAAAGCTCCGTACCTTTTTTTTTTTTAAGATTTATTTATTTATTTGAGAGAGAACGAGAGGTGGGGAGGAAAGTGGGGGGGAGAGAGAGAGAGAGAGAGAGAGAAAGAAAGAAAGAAAGAAAGAAAGAAAGAGAAAGAGAAAGAAAGAACGAGAGAGAGAAAGAAGAAAAAGAAAAATAAAAGAAAAAAAGAAGCAGATTGCCTGCTGAGCAGGAAGCCAAGTGAGGGGCTCGATTCCAGAACCCAGATATGACCTCAGCCAAAGGCAGACACTTAACTGATTGAGCTACCTAGGTGCCCCAAAACTCTATACTTTTAAACCCCTTCCTCCTTCACAAGTTCCCTGACTCATTGTCCCTTGAAAAAGCTACCTACTCCCAAATTTTAGGAAGTTTAGAAAGATATGTACCAAATATCTGCTTCATCTTCACAGGAAATAATGCATATCTCAATAATATATTCCTTAAAAAAAATGTATTCCTTGGTGCAGTCTAAGTCACCCTGTCTACACTGATCAACTCTTTTCTTAGGCCAGCTTAGACTAAGTGCCTCAGAAACCCATTTTGTGAGGTAGGAGTCTCATGTATTGGATCATTCTATCCATAAGGCTCTGCGTCTCAAACTTTACCATTAAAGTCTCCCCCCCTTTTTTTTTTAAGATTTTAATTCTTTATTCATGAGAGACAGAGAGAGGCAGAGACATAGGCAGAGGGAGAAGCAGGCTCCCCATGGGGAGCCCGGTGCAGGACTTGATCCCGGGACCCCAGGATCACGACCTGAGCCAAAGGCAGACACTCAACCACTGAGCCACCTTGTGCCCTTACCACTAAAGTCGCCTAATGACAGAACACCTTGTACACTTGGGAATCTGCAGGTGAAGAACACAATTTCATTGAAGTCTCATATTTCATCTTAAGCATGCATGTACATTTTTATTGTACTATAAATTAGTTTATCTTAGTAGAAGGGTCTTAAAGTAATGAGTTAAATCACAGGCAGACCTCACTTTACACATTTCCTATATGCATTACTTGAAGTTACTGTGGTTTAAATTACCTCAGTCTCCCTAACAATATGGTTTAAATTCTAGTTTCCACAGAATTTGAACTTTGAGTACTTACATAAAGTAATAATTACCTGCCCTTCGACTCACAAGTCACCACATAGATAACATACCTATATCATGATCTGTTACCAATCACAGCACTTCTTTGAAAGTGTAGTGATTGGTCATTAGACATCTGTTATTCACTTTATACACGGACAGCCAAGTGAATAGTTGAGTTGCTTCATTCTTACCTGGTGGTAAATCCACATGATATTTTACAAAAATGGAAAATCAAGAGAGAGAATTGGCAAATAAAGGTGAAAGTGCATTAATGAAACCAAAAGTGATATTGCTGGGAATGAAATTTGAATGAAACTTAAATGGGTCATAAAAGAGACATCTGCTTCTGGAAAGGCAGATATTCAAGACATCTGTGCAGCCAGAGGAACCTGGGGAAGATGAGTTT